TCTTCCCTGTTAGGCCTGTATCTCTTGTTGGTTTTATACTACTCAGCAATCCATTCAATCTGATTAACACTAATTATTCACTTACCTTTTCTAATTTACCTTGTCTTGTCTTTCCAACTATCTTCTCCTTCTAACCTCCTCCTTAGATTCTATTCTCTAATTTTCCTTAATCCTTTCCTATTCTCTTTAATTATCCTTGATTCTGCTTCTCTTACCCAGAAACACAATCTGCATCAGTATCAGGGCCTGGATATTGTTCTTCAAATTTTCATCAATTTCTCCCAAATTTTGCAAACCCTTCCAAGTAATCTAAATGAGTCCATAGCTATAACTGCAAATTTCAGAATATTATGGCAGATGAGAACACAATATCACATATAACCAGTTGACAACTATGGGAAGTCATAAGAACCTAATAAACAGAGATTTTTCAATGGGAGTCTGGGACAAACAAAGGACTTTCTTAAAACACTATAATGTTGAGGCTAATTCAACTCAACCAGTGAATTACACATGAATTTTTGCCTTATACAAGTGAAATAATGTAGCAAAATTAACTGAGAAATACTAGTCATACAGTTACAAAAACCTGGGTTGCAGTTCTACTTATGACACATACTGGCTATCTTACCTGAACAAGTACTTTAATCAAAGCAAATCTGACCTGCTTCCACAAATAAAATTACTGCAAGTTCACTATATCAGTAGTCACCAAACTTTTTTGATCACACAACTCTATCAGTAAAAAAAAGTATGCACATACAACTCCAAATATAAACATATATATTTACTTATTTATACAATATATTCACATATTGCTGTACTAATAATTACATATAATTTCAAATTTGTGCAGAAAAAAAGATACTTAATTCTAGAGAAAATAGAGAGCCTGTCATTGTATCAAAATCACTTTGGCAGTTATGTGGAAGTAGTCTTGGAACATTAGGATTGAATTACTTGAGACAGAGAGAATAATTAGGAAGCTACTGTGATAGCCCAGGTAAGAGATAAAAAGGGCCTGAAATAAGGTGACAGCTACATGTGTGGAGAAGGGGATAGATTTGAAAGAGGTTGAAATGGCAAGGTTTGGCAACCAACTGTATATGTGAGATAAGGGAAAGAAAGGAACCAAGGATAATACCAAGTTTGAGAACTTGGGCGAGCAGAAAAATAGTGATGCTCTCAAAAGTAAGAGATACAGTCAGAAGAGGGGTGTGTGTGTGTGTGTGTGTGTGTGTGTGTGTGTGTGTGTGTGGGCAAAGATAATAAGTACTACCATGTACATGTAAATGAGAGTCTAAAGAACATCTAATTCAAAATGTCTTCTAGGCAGTTCATGACATAGGACTTGAATTCAAGAGAGAAATCTAGACTGAACATAGATAGATGAGACAGATTTGGGAGCCATCTAAATAGAGCTGATAATTAAACTAACGGTTGGTGATGAAGAGAACAACTGACTAAGTACAGAGAAGACAAGGCATTATGTCCACAGGGAGAGGATGTAATATTAAAGAAGATCCAACAATGGAGAATGAGAAAGAACAGCCAGACAGGCTCAGAGAACAATGTCATGACAACCCAGAGAGAATAGTAGAGGAGAAGGTGGTCAATGTCAAATGCTGCAGAGAAGGCAATAAGGATGAGGACTGAGAAAAGACAATCAGATTGGTAATTAAGAGATATTTGGTAACTCTGAAGGGATCAGTTTCAATTAATGGAGAACTGAGAATAAGGTTGAGAACCTGGCAGAATTAAAAGTATTATCCCACATGGAAACTAGGAGGTTTGGAAGAAGGATGGCTTTGGTAGGAAATAAATCCTGTGTTACTAAAAATGAGATAGGTATATATGTTAGGGGATCAAAGGAGCAAGGGGAATGGTCAATGATGAGACACCGTAGCAGAATGCAGAGGGCTCTATGATGATCAAGTAGACAAGGTGGAGGGAGACGGGGTGGGGTGGGGGGTAAGCTGGTGCAGCTGGTGCTGGTGCCAGGGTTCAATTAAATTAGATCTCTCTTGCCCTAAGGTGAATATACCTGGTGAAGCTGGGGAAGGAGCACAGAGAGGGATTTCAAGAGAATGGAATAGTGGTGCTAAAGACAAGACCATAATTGGTTATCATGTGGAGAGTAGATGTGATTCTTCTTCCTATCTTCTAAATGGATGATCAGCCATCCCCTAGATGGAAGTCACAGCCTCCTTGGCATCATTCTATTCTACAGCCCCAACTTTGGAGACAATTAACTTACACCTATAAAAGTCACAGGCTTGGTCCCCCTAACCCTACCAAAAAAATGGCAAGAATACAGTTCAGCTTTCCCAAAAATTGAGCATAGAAAATTGAACTTTGGAGAGCCCCCTTTCCCACTCTCCCTCTGTCAGAGACACACACAATTTAATGCATAAAAACCCAAAACACTTTTACAAACACACCTTATATGTAGTGCAATAGAGCTGATTATGGCTTTAAATTATAGGACTCTAGAGCACCATCCTTGGCCTAGCAGATTAAGGAAAGAGGGAGGGGAAGTGGAATTAAATTTTCCCTTTCCCTGTAAAGCTCTTTTTTTTTTAATTGCTAATAGGGCTGGGAGGAATTTAGTACAATTCAGCAAACATTTAGCACTCATTATATATGAAAAGACTCTGACAGGTGCTAATGATATTGAATCACCCTTCATCTGGCACAGTTCTTTGACCACAGCGGGAATGTGACAGATGCCCACCACCCCATTTTCAAGATAACATAATAGTTATCATTACCCTCCATCATCCACAAAAAGACAACCTGGCTCAGTCAATGGAGAAGAAGATTTGGTTCACATACCATCTCTGACATGATCTAGCTGTGTAACATAAATGACTATTAATAAATTATTTAAACTTTTGAACATTTAACCTTAGCTATGAAATGGGAATAATAATACCTATTAAATGTACTTCATTAGTTTTTCAGGAGTTTCAAGTATGTATGTAAAGTTTCAAGCCTATGTAAAGTCCTTAGTAAACTTTAAAGTACTTAATAAATGTCAGAGATGTGGAACCAGCCTGAGTCCCCCATCACTTGAAAGAGGGCCGAAAATCTGGATCGGCCAATCAGAAAAAGACATTTTGGCCCACACTGAATTAACATACCATAATCCTTTGCATGCTCTCTGAGTGAACCCAAAAATTAAGCTGACTAGGAGCATTCTCCAGTTTATGAGTGATAAAGACCAGGTGCCTTGAACCGGACACTATCTTGATTGATGATATTTCTCTTATCTTACTGTCTTAGGGCACGCTCTTATTAAGACTCTATTGAATTGACACTCTTATTTTATGACATCCTGGGGGTACTCTCTTGTTCTATGGAAATTATAATTTTGGCTGACAAAGGCATCCTGAGTTAGGAAGGGAAGGAGGGCAGGGGAGTACGCTATGGGTATATAATCTGTGCAGCCAAACCCCAAAGTGAGCTCATTTCCAAATGACTCCGATGTATTCATATGCATGTCCACTTGCTTTGAGAGAAGTAAGCATGAACACACAGCCTAATTTTGTCTGTCTTTCTTAGAATGAACTTTGCCAGATTGACAGTTATTACTTTTGTTAATATATGGTAACTTGACAGTGAACTTAAAGGAAGATTTTTTTCTTCCCAGAATAGGCAGCAAATTGAATCTTGAACCATGAAAGAAGAGAGTGAAACAGTCTGTTTAAGGGTGATAAAAGATATGGAATGCCAAGTTAAGAGAATGATTAGTACATTTGTTTGTGTGAAATTTGAATGTATGAGGTGAATAAAGCTCGAAAGGAGAGATACAGTGAAAGAGTGCAGGGCTTCACATGCCAAACGATCGAGTTCATATTTTGTCTTGAAGCAGCAGGAATCTCCTGAAGATTTTTAAGCAAGGGAGTGACAGCCCCAGAAACTGGGAGGTTATTATGGGAACCATGGAGAAGAAAGCTAGAAAAGGTAAAGACCAGAAGCAGGGAGATCAATCACCAGTTTGTTCAATGGACAAAGTGAGTATTAATAAGGGCCTAACCAATGACAGGGCCTGGATTAGTGGAGAGAAAGGAAAAGAAAGTGAGTCTAGAACAGGGATGAAGGACAAAGAAAAAGAGGAGAAGAGGGACTGAAGTGAGTCACTGAAAAGAAGTGTTTGCCATGGTAAGAACAAACAGATTTATGGAATGAAGCAGAAGGAAAGAGAACAGAACATTAGTGTCAGAGAGAAGAATTTCACAATCTAGGATCATAGAGGCAACTTGGTTATGGATGATTCCATGATCTTTCATATAAGCATATCTACAGCTGCTCAAGTGGAATCGACTGGGGCAATAAGAGATGAGGAAGTTAATAAAGTGGGAGAACAATATCTGAGTGAGGGTACAGCAAGGTATTAATGAAGAAATGAGAAAACAAAAAACAAACCTGAGCTACAAATGGAAAAAAAAATTACAGCATCAAAAATAAAGTATCCATATATGAGAGCATAGTTTGTAATAGGAAAGAAGACCATGAGCTAAGAACTGAAGTTCTTGAGAAAGAAGGGAGAACGACCCAGGGGCCAGCTGAGATAGCTAAGTAAGGTGGCAGCGGGAGGGCTAGTAAATGACAATATGGAACAAGAAGCATGCTCCCTTCCCCTCCTGGTCCATGTCATGGAAAGTACCCAGCACTAACGACGGGGCCCAAGGATGCAGTGATTTTCTGAGGGATCCAGGTTTTCCTGAGCCCGAGATAAAAACACTTTGAGAAGATCTAGAATGAAAGGGAGTGCATTAATGCTGGAGCAAAAGTGACAAAAATACCAAGGACATAGTAGAAGGAAAGAAGCAGAGGAGGACAGGGACTAAGTAAGGCGAGGCTTGAGTTCAACTGCACCAACAGTGGAGGAAGGCAGCAAAAAGAATCGGAGAGAGACACTCAAGCACAGAAAAAACAAGAGGCCAGTCTAGATCCCTGCCCTACCCCCCAAATCCATGTTTTCTTTCTGCTCTGACCTGGAGCTGCTGAGAGCTGTCATTGAGATTGTCCTCCCTCCTCCGAGCCTCCTCCAGCATCTGGGCGCTCTTCTTTTTCTCCACCTGCTCCTTGTGCTTCAGATTGGCGACCTTCTTATTTTGGTCTTTTACTTGCCTGTTAAGAAAAAAAAAACTTTTCAAAATTGTGTGTTCCCTTTATTCTACGAAGCTGATACTAATGAACAGTTTCAAGGAAGTTGTTCTTGGGATTTCTGTAGTTTCCAACACTTTCCCAATCCACTGAAACCAAATTTTCGTAAATGACACTTCATTTTTCTATTAAATAACATTTACTTAAACTCCATATGTAGTGCTTAACAGTGACTTCATACAACAAAAGAACACCATATGGTCAACAGTCAATAAACATTTATTAAGCACCTACCATGTGTCAAATGCTGGGGGGGGGGATGCCTACTCTCAAGGAGCTCATAATCTGAGGAGTAAACAATATGCACACAACCATATTCCAATATGCTATGCACAGGATACATTAGAAAAAAAATAAACAGAATGAAGGTACTAAATTAGGGGGGATCAGGAAAAGGTAATTTTACCTTCCTAGGTCAGAAAAGGATACTATCAGGATCTTTATTTAGAAGTATGACAAGTTTATTGACCCAGAGAGCTGTGAAGCCCAGAGAAGTGACTAAGATGGGAGATTAATTTTTCTCTAGTACCACCTAGTTTGATGATGTTTAGCTAAATATCTCTGACTAGTGATACAAAATTCTTTCAAAGGAACTCATAATAGATAAAAGACTACTATTTTGTGTCAGTGAGAGTTGCGATAGAGACATGGGTCATCTAAGATATGAAAAAAATAACCCAACCCTCAGCTACAAATGCAAAACACACACGCACAAACTGCATCAATTTTAATGGATAATTTATATTTTTAAGTATACTACTCACACTCATTTGAGAGATGCAAAAATACTATAAGCAAATTCATTAACAGTACTTTTTGTTTTTAAATAATGCACATACAAAAATTTATTATAAATTACTGATGCAGATTCTGTAAGATGACAGCGTCAAATACAAATGGAAATGTGAGCCACTACACAGTATATAAGAATTCCTGCAGGCCACACACTGACCTAGAAAACTACACGTTTATATGTTTCTTTTTTTTGTTTAATAATTTCAACAACACATTAAAATCAGATAGGAACTAGATATAACAAATATGTAAAACAGATATTATTACATATTTGACAATTAAAAAATATTTATATGTATTTATTTACAACATATATGCCTACAAATCAGACAGGAACTACAGATAAAAAACATATAATTTTATGTTTTAATATGGAATAGATTCAAAATCATTACAGAACATGTCATTAAAAAAAAATTCAAAATCAATTTAATATCATTTGCTAGAAACTTGGCATCTTTCGCCATAAACCATTTTATCGATATTGGGTGTAAGCTTTTATGATGTTTTCAGTACGTATGATGAATGTCCATTTGTAAATCTTGCCATATATGAAGTTCTAACACACTTCAGGAGTGAAAATAACTACTTATATAGATGTACATATGACCAAACATTGCTAAAATTCGTGCAGCAAACATGCATTTCAACAAAATGGCTTGTCAAATAAAAATAAAAATCTGGAAGACTTCATTATACTTTTCTTTTAGCTATGTTATACTGAATTTCAACCAGTTCTATCTGAATGTTACTTTTTGTTCTCTCAATATTAAAAGAAAACTGAGTGCTGAATATTTTAAAGTATTTTCATACACGTTGAATCTTTCATGTTGTTTTTCAAATTCAAATACTAACTCCTGAATATATGAGTCATGCTTATTGAAATCACAACAAAATGACTCGATAATTTATAGGAATAGGAATTTGTAGGAACTGGAGTCAAATCGTGATTTTATTTACCTTTACTAAAGACTTATCTTAAATGCTTTAATGCAATTGTACATAAGCATTACACCCTGATTTCCATCCTTAAGTTTTAAATTTAACTGATTTAAATGCCCCATAACACCCACAATGAAAACCAAATCTTAAAACCAGTTCTTATTAAGTTGTTCTGGTACTGTCCTTTCCTTCCTTCCTTTCTTTCTTTCTTTCTTTCTTTCTTTCTTTCTTTCTTTCTTTCTTTCTTTCTTTCTTTCTTTTTAAAGCAATTAGGGTTAAGTGATTTACCCAGGGTCACACAGTTAGTAAGTGTCAAGTGTTTGGTCTGAGGCCAGATTTGAACTCAGGTCCTCCTGACTTCAGGGCCGGTGCTCTATCTACTGTGCCACATAATGGCCCCCGTCCTTTCATTTCTAAAAACATTTCATGCAAAAGTTGCCAAAACTGCTTCAAAACCTAATGACAAGAAAGCCAGTCAATTTCTTTACAAAAAAGTGAACCTTCCTGCTCATTTTCAATTTCAAAAAGCGACACCACTGCAAATGGCAGCAGTTTGACTCCAACCTCTGGAGTAGAACAGGATCTCAGTTCTACCTTGTAGCCCAACTTGCAGCTTTAGCCTGCAGAGTAATAATTAAGCAAGAATTGTAGACCAACAGAGAGGAGCATTCAGTTCTGTTACTGTCAAGCAGCAGAGCTGGCTAATAGCAGCAGCAATCCTAAAACTGCTCAGACTAAAACTAAGTCAAGAACTTAAAGATCTTTGACTCCACAGTCTAATAATGGGGTAATAATGAAGCCCTGCCCTGCCACTTCGGGAGCACGGAACAAGCGTACACCCAAATTCTAAGAGGCAGGAGAAAAGAGCAAACAAAATGAGAATTCTGCCTTAAAAAGATATTAGGGTGACAAGAATTCTCAGAGAAAAACACATCCTGGATACAAATTCAACTAGAATTTCTATATAAGAGGAGTCAAGGATTAATTTTTTTTTTAAATTTTTATGAATGAGTGTTGGAGGAAAAAAATTGAGAAGGAAATGCAAACTATGGAGTAAAGAACTGGAAACAATGAACAGCTTGTTACAATAGGCTAAGAAAAAAAACCTTGCCCAAGCAACACACTCCCTGAAAATTACAACAGACCAAATAGAAGCCAACGATTCCATGAAGCAAAAAGAAATATTGGAAAAAGAAATTCAACAAAAGAAAATCTAAACTATAGCAAAAACCTAGAAAATACATGGGGGGGGCGCGGGGGGAAGGAGGATTAAGAATCACTGAACTACCTGAGTACCATGACTGAGAAAATGGCCCTAGATAACATATTTCAAGAAATATTGAAAGAAAACTGCAGAAATCTCTTAGAATCTGAGAGCAAAGTGGAAATAGAAAGAAGCCACTGGTTACCAACTGAAAGAAATTTCAAAATAAAAACTCCTAGAAACATCACAGCAAAAATCCAGAGCTTCTAGGTCAAAGAAAAAATACCAAAAGGATCTAGAAAGAAAAAATTCAAGTACTGAAGAGCCACAGGCAGGATCATACACAACATAGTAGCCACCAGTATAAATGAGCAGAGAGTGTTGAATACCATGTTCCAGAAAGCAAAGGCTTTTTAGGCTTACATTCAAGAATAACTTACTCAGCAAAACTGAATGTAATTCTATTGGAGGAGGGGTTAGGGGGAAGATATATCTTTAATGAAATAAACAACTTCTAATATTCCTGTGAAAAAACCAGAGCTATGTAAAAACACTAAAGTTCAAACACAACAGTCAACAGAAATGCAAAATGCATTACCAAAAAATAATAAATGACCAAACAATGATAAACTGCTTACATTCTAATATGAAGTGAAGTATTCCTTCTAAAGTCTATCACCACCATGAGTCACAGACAGAAACTAATTAGACAAGGCCTGAGAGTGGCTGTTATGTCTTTTTTTAACAGTATTTTATTTTTTCCAATTACATGTAAAGACAATTTTTAACATTTGTTTAAAAAATTTTGAGTTCCAAATTTTCTTGCTCCCTCCTTTTTCTCCTCCCCTCCTAAAGCAAGGCTATCTACCCTATCTACACTGCATAAAAAAATCAAGGATATCTACCCTAAATAGGTTATATATGTGCAATCCTGTAAAGCAGGCCTGCACAACATACACGGCCTGTGGATGGTATGTTACGCAGGCCTTTTTTATATCCTCTACATTTTTGTGGGCTGTCCAAAATCCTTTGGTGGGCTGCAAGCAAAGTGTGGGCCCTATGTTGTGCAGGGCTGCTGTAAAACATATTTCCATATCAGTCCTATTGTGAAAGAAAACACAGACCAAAAGGAAAAAAATAAACATGAGAAAGATAAAGAAAGTGAAAATAGTATGTTTTGCTCTGCATTCAGACTCCATCAGTTCTTCTGGATGTGGATGACATTATCCATCATGAGTCCTTTGGACTTGGTCTTAGATGTCTGTATGGCTGAGAAGAGCTAAGTTATTCATAGTTGATCATTGTAACAACATTGCCGTTACTGTGTACAACGGTCTCCTGGACTTCACTATGTAAGTTCATGTAGGTTTTTCTAAATTCCACCTACTCCTCATTTCTCATGTCACAATAGTATTCCAATACATTCATATGCTGCAACTTGTTCAGTCATTCCCCAACTTGATGAGCATCATCTCAATTTCCAAAAAGAGCTGCCATAAATATTTTTATATATGTAGATCCTTTTCCCTTTTTTATGATCTCTTTGGGATACAGACCAACTAGCTGTATTGTAGGATCAAAAGGTATGTAGAATTTGATTGCCCTTTGGGCATAGTTCCATATTGCTCTCCAGAATGGTTAGATCAGTTCACAACTCCACCAACAGTGCATTACGGTCCCGATTTCCCCACATCCTCTCCAACATTTATCATTTTCCTATTCAGTCATATTAGCCCATCTAATCAATATGAAGTGGTACTGCAGAGTTGTTTTGATTGCATTTCTCTAATCAATATTGATTTATAACATTTTTTCATGTGACTCTAGATAGCTTTGATATCTTCATCTGAAAATTGCCTATTCACCATTTGTCAAGTGAGGAACGACTTGTATTCTAATAAATTTGACTTGGTTCTCTATATATTTGACAAATGAAGCCTTTATGACCAGACACTCGCTATAAAAATTATTTTGCAGATTTGTTTTCCCTCTGATCTTGGCTGCACTGGTTTTGTTTGTGCAA